GATTTTTTAAATATTTTTTTCTAAGGCCTATATAAGGCGTAGATTTTTTAAATATTTTTTTCTAAGGCCTATATAAGGCGTAGATTTTTTAAATATTTTTTTCTAAGGCCTAGCTAAGGCGTAGATGTTTTAAATATTTTTTTCTAAGACCTATATAAGGCGTACATTTTTTAAAAGTATTTTTTCGAGGTCTATAAGCCTATATAAGGCGTAGATTTTTGTAAAGAATTTTTTTTGGGAGGCCTATATAAGGCGTAGATTTTTTAAATATTTTTTTCTAGGACCTCCATAAGGCGTAGATTTTTTAAATATTTTTTTTCTAAGGCCTATATAAGGCGTAGATTTTTTAAATATTTTTTTCTAAGGCCTAAATTTTTTAAATATTTTTTTCTGATTGGCTTTAGCATGGCGATGTCCAGCCTTATCTTGGTCCCTCTTTCATCTCAATTGTGGAGACTGACCTCCCCGCGGTGCCATTTGGAGTAGCTATTTTCATCACCCATCATCAATGCGAGTGAGCTTATATGTGCCGCGAGTTCACCCATAAGAAATAAAAAAAATTGGGTTGAGACGTCGGGTTAGTTGCCTACACTCGGAAAACCGAACCTACTATGAGAAAGCAAAGAAGAAGAAAACCAAACCCACTTAATGATGACGACCCCCGCAAACGTATAAAGGACCACAATCTGCGAACTTGCTCTTCGAATGTGCGCACCATGTACAGAACAGGCGCAGTTTTCGCTTTGGCGGATGTACTCAAGAAGTACAAAGCCGATATTATTGCCTGACAGGAAATGCCATGCAAAGGGGCTGGCGTAAGTAAATCTGATGATTACGCACTGTATTATAGATGCCATGAAAAGAGGCATGAATTTGGTTGCGGATTTATGGTTAACAGGAGAATATAGGACCTCGTCTCCATATTCACTCCAGTAGATGAGTGAATTTCTAGAATCCGTATAAAAGCGAAGTTCTTCTACATCAGTCTCATTTGCGCCCATGATCCGACGAAAGACAAAGAAGGAACAGATCAAAGACATATTTTACCAGTGTCTAGAAACAGCATATGACCGTTGCCCTGATATTAAAATTCTGCTAGGAGATTTTAATGCAAAAATCGGAAGGGAAAATATCTTTGGTCCAACCGTCGGAAAATTCAGCCTTCATGAAGAAACATCCGACAATGGCATGAGGTTGATTGACTTCACGGCAGCAAAAAACATGGTAGTTAGCAGCGCCAGATTGAAGCATCTCTATATACACAAGGCCACCTGGATTTCTCCTGAACAAGCAACGATAAATAAAATTGACCATGTAGTGATAGACCGAAGGCATTCATCCAGTGTATTAGGCGTTCAATCGATCCGATGAGCGAATATCGATTCGGACCATTACCTAGTGGTAGCCAAGATTCGCACTCGTCTTAATGTTGCAGCAAAGGGTCAATCTAATGTAACACGGAAACTCGACGTCGAAAAGCTGCAAACACAACAGGTAGCAGAGGCCTACTCCGCTCAACTTACCCAACTGCTTGACGAAAGCACCCCTTGTCCCGATAATAGTATAGAAGCACAATGTCAAAGAATTGCCCACTCCCTCCAAACTGCAGCAAAAGCAACACTTGGGTACCAAAAATCACCATCAAGAAACCCATGGTACGATCAGTAGTGTCGTAATGCTACTGGTGTGAAAAACGCAGCGTATTGGGCAACCCTGCAGACAGTAGCAACACATATGTGATGAAGAATTATCGGGAGAAAAGGAGAGAGAAGAAACGTATTTTCAGAAAAAAGAACAAGAAAAACGAGAGCGTATGCAAATCGAGATGTACAGGAGTCAGAATGAAGTCTGAAAATTTTACCAACGAGTAAAACATCAAACCGAAGGCTTTGGTGCAGGCACATCCTACTGCAGAGATAAAGGAAACCTGGTGATATATACAAACAGCGTGTTGAGGATCTAGAAGGAGCATTTTGAAAAACTTCTGGTATCAAATAGTAGCAGTGAAGTGGATACCCCAGAATCGGTATAGAGTGTATACCACCTAGCCAAGATGAAGTCAGAATAGCAATAAATCGGCTGAAGAATAATAAAGCAGCAGGTGCCGATGGGTTACAAGCCGAACTATTCAAGACTGGTGGTCAGATGCTGGTCAGTAGCATGCACCAGCTGATTAGTAGAATTTTGCTAGAAGAATGCATGCCCAATGATTGGAACCTCAGCATCCTGTGTCCCGTGCACAAAAAAGGAGACAATACCATATGTGCCAACTATAGAGGAATTAGCCTTCTTCCCACCGCATATAAAGTGCTATCCAGTGTGTTGTGTCAACGATTGAAGCCAATGGTCAATGACATTATTGGACCATACCAATGCGGCTTCAGACCTAAAAAATCCACATTGACCAGATTTTCACTCTGCGCCAATTCCTAGAAAGGACCCACGAAAAACACATCGACTGATACCACATATTCGTCGACTATAAAGCCGCATTTGACAGCCCTGTCCGTTCAGAGGTTTTTAGATCCATGTCTACGTTCGGTATTCCTACTAAATTAATACGGCTATGCAGGATAACTGTAAGTGGCACAAGGTCAGCAGTTAAAGTCGGAAAGGACCTATCGGAGCCCTTCAATACTGAACGAAGATTTAAAAAAGGTGACAGTTTGTCGTGTTATCTTTTTAACATCCTGCTGGAAAAGGTCATGCGAGACGCAATGGTGAACAGAACTGACACTCTTTACACCAAACAATACATGCTACTCGCATACGCCGATGACATCGATATAATGGGTCAAACATAGCGAGCAGTAACAGCCACCTTTAAACAAATTGAGAAGGAGTCTGTGGGTCTGGCAGTAAACGGGGAGAAGAACAGGCTGATGGTATCAACGCGCAAGACGTCCAGTAGACTCGGACCATTTGTAGATTTTAAAAACTACAGTTTCGACGTAGTCAAAGATTTTTTATACCTTGGTACCGCCATAAATAAAACGAATGACATCAGTTTTGAAATTCGGAGATGGATTGTGATGGCCAACAGATGCTACTATCGTCTAAGTAAGTAGTTTAGAAACAAGGCCATCTCCCACCAGACCAAACTCACACTTTACAAGATGCTGATACTACCCGTGCTATTATATGGATCAGAAGCATGGGTACTTGCGCAAGCAGATGAGGCAGCTCTTGGGGTGTTTGAAAGAAAAATTCTCCGAAAGATCTACGGGCTGATCTGCGTCGACGGTGAATATCGGCGTCGAATGAACCATGAGCTTTACAATTGATACGCGGACATCGACATAGTCACTCGTATTGAGCTGCAGCGACTACGATGGCTAGGCCATGTTGAATGAGCTCAAAAGGCATATAAAAGCGAGCCTACTGATGGTTCCCGTAGAAGGGAAAGGCCACGAATTAGGTGGAAAGACCAAGCTGAAAACAACATCTTGGAACGTTGTCTTTCAAATTGGAGGAGATGCGCACAAGACCGACGCGTTTGGAAATCGTTTAAAAGTTCGGCTTTTCCAAGGCCTACATAAAGCGTGGATTTTTTAAATAAATTTTTCAAGGCCTATATAAGGCGTGGATTTGTTAAAATGAATTTGTTAAGGGCCTATGTAAGGCGTGGGTTTTTTAAAATTAGTTTGTCAAGGCCTATATAAGGCGTGGATTTTTTAAAGATTAAATTTTCAAGGCCTATATAAGGCGTGGATTTTTGAAAGATTCATTTTTCAAGGCCTGTATAAGGCGTGGATTTTTTAAAGATTCATTTTTCAAGGTCTATATAAGGCGTGGATTTTTTAAAGATTCATTTTTCAAGGTCTATATAAGGCGTGGATTTTTTAAAGATTCATTTTTCAAGGTCTATACAAGGCGTGGATTTTTTAAAGATTTATTTTTCAAGGTCTATATGAGGCGTGGGTTTTTTTAAATGTTTTTAGGGCCTATAAAAATTGTGGACTTTTAAATATTTTTGCGGAAGATATATCACTTTTTAGTCAATAATTGTAGCACTGTGCCTCATTCGCAATTTGGGATTTCAGGATCTATTCTAATTTTTCATTTTATCGACGACTACTTCTACTTTAGATTTTGATTTATTTTTCTTTAGTTATTAGTTTGCTGGGTGGCCTTACGCTAAATTCCCGGTTTTGCTTGTTTGACGAGCAAAGCCAAAGAGAATTTAAACGGGTTCTGTTCAATTTCAGGGCAATTTCATTTTTCCCAATATTTAAAATTTGGTCCCAGCACAACTAATGGTGGGAGGATATTTTTTTCTGTTTAGCTTTTCAGTTTATTCAGTGTCAAAGTTTTAATATCATAAAATCATCAACATTTTTTTATAAATTTTTTTTAATTTTATTTTTTTTTTTGTTTTTTTTTTTTTTTTGGTTCTGTACAAAAAAAGTTGAAATGCAGTTTTTGTTTTTTAGACTGGTGGCAGAGTTATTCATTATTATTACTTAGTTTTTGGGAACGAGTAAGTTTTTTATTTTTTATATTTAATTTAATGAATTATGATTTTTGGGGGGTTTGATTTTATTTTGGTTTTGAGGGGAAGGAGTTTTTTTGTTAACGATTTTGTTGACTTTTTATTTTTTTCTTGGTTTAATGAAAATTTGTTAAAATGAATTAATTTTTTTTTTTTTTTTGGGGAGATTAGTTTTAGTGATTATCAGAATGAATATATTTTTAAATTTTTTTCTACGAAATGGGATTTTTTGTTTTCATTGATGAGGTTTGATTTTGTTTTAGTTTCGTTAAAAAATATATTCAACAAAAAACGAAGCCTTACAATAAAATAAAATGTTTCTTTAACACTTAGTTACAACGAAAAACTTTTTTTCAACAAAAATAAAAGCACACACACAATCACACACCAAATAAATTTACTATTTGTTTACTTAAAAAAACAATAACATAAAAAATATATTTGTAAAAACTATAACCATTTAATATGTTATGTAGAATAAGTTTCAATTCTAACGACATAGACTTACCTAACAATGGCACAGCATCGGATGTGGCCGGCATCGTTTCAGCAACCATATTGAGAAACACGGTGAGAGAGAGTAAAATAGTGACACCTGGAAGAGAAAGAGAGGGAGAGATTGAGAACAGTTATATTTTTTTACCCGCGTGGATTTTTTAAAAATATTCTTGGAGGTCTTTTAATAAGGATTTAAAAAAAAAAATTGGAAAACTAATACAATGTGTGATTTTTTTTTTAAATATTTTTTCAATAATCTTCCAAAGGCGTGGTTGCTTAAAAATATTTTTTCAAGAATTTTCCAAAGGCGTGGTGGTTTAAAAATATTTTTTCAAGAATCTTCAAAAGGCGTGGTTGCTTAAAAATATTTTTTCAAGAATCTTCCAAAGGTGTGGTTGTTTAAAAATATTTTTTCAAGAATCTTCCAAAGGCGTGGTTGCTTAAAAATATTTTTTCAAGAATCTTCCAAAGGTGTGGTTGCTTAAAAATATTTTTTTAAGTATCTTCCAAAGGCGTGGTTGCTTACAAATACTTTTTTAAGTATCTTCCAAAGGCGTGGTTGCTTAAAAATATTTTTTTCAAGAATCTTCCAAAGGCGTGGTTGCTTAAAAATATTTTTTCAAGAATCTTCAAAAGGCGTAGTTGTTTAAAAATATTTTTTCAAGAATCTTCCAAAGTCGTGGTTGCTTAAAAATATTTTTTCAAGAATCTTCCAAAGGCGTGGATTTTTTTGGAGGTCTATCTACAGGCGTGGAGTTAAAAGAATCTTCCAAAGGCGTGGTTGCTAAATTTTTTTTTAAGAATCTTCCAAAGGCGTCGTTGCTTAAAAATATTTTTTCAAGAATCTTCCAAAGGCGTGGTTGCTTAAAAATATTTTTTCAAATATCTTCCAAAAATATTTTTCAAGAATCTTCCAAAGGCGTGGCTGCTTAAAAATATTTTGTCAATAATCTTCCAAAGCCGTCGTTGCTTAAAAATATTTTGCCAATAATCTTCCAAAGCCGTCGTTGCTTAAAATATTTTTTCAAGAATCTTCCAAAGGCGTGGTTGCCTAAAAATATTTTTCAGTGGTCTTCCAAAGGTGTGGATTTTTTTGGAGTTCTATCAACAGGCGTGGATTTAAAAAAAAACAAGTGAAGAAGCGTTTAGTTCGGCCGGGCCGAACTTTGGATACCCTCCACCATATATATACTAAAAGGTAGTTGAAAGGTATACCGACATTTCTACAACGCGATTATGTAAACCATAACGTGAACCATGTTCCAGAAAATTTTGATTTCATTCAATCTGTGCATATCTTATTGTTCTTCCAAACTTAGTTCAGGTTCGAAGATGTGGACTATCGGTCCACCCCCTCTGATACCTCCCACACAAGTGCTAAGCCTAAATGCGGGTTACAGTTCATGCATAATTCATTATCAAACCTTACGTTCTAACTTTATCTTGATATCCTCCGCAGGTGAAATGATTACAACAGAGTCTTAGAACCAAACTCAAAACGCGGAACAAATCAGATAACTATTTTAATATAAACAAGGGAGTTAAATGCGGACTACGCCAAAAAGGGGACGAATATTAAAAATTTTTGGTAGGGAGATTTGTTACCATATACGACTACAAAATACCAAATTGCAGTGAATTCGGTTGAAAAACGCTCAAGAACCCCAAAATACCGAAATTAGGAGGTACCCTTATATGGGAGCTACCAGAAAAAATTGACTTATATTTATAATTTTTAGTGGAGATATTTGGTACCCAACAAGAACCCAATATACCAAATTTCAGCGAATTCGGTTGAAAAACGCTCTCAAGAACCCCAAAATACCGAAAATTGGGGGTACCCTTATATGGGGGCTACCCGCAAAAAATGGACCGATATTCATAATATTTTGTTGAGAGATTTGGTACCTTTTAAGAACTCAAAATACTAAATTATAGCCAATTCGGTGGAAAAATACGATTAAAACCCCCAAAATACTGAAAATTAGGAGGAACCGTTATATGGGGGCTACCAGAAAAAGTGGACATATATATATATATAATTTTTTGTAGGGACATTTTGAATCCAATAAGAACCCAATGTACCAAATTTCAGCGAATTCGGTTGAAAAACGCGCTCAAGAACCCCAAAATACCAAAAATTTGGGGGTACCCTTTTATGGGAGCTATGCCTAAACGTGGACCGATAAAGCCCATCATCGAACTTGACCTGCCTGCAGACAAAAGACAATCCTATGCAAAATTTCAGCACCCTATCTCAATTCCTTCAGAAGATAGATATAGCTCCCATATATATTTTCGTCCGATTTAAGGTAAATGGTGTACCAAAGTCCCTATATATCTTTTGATTTGCACGAAATTTGGCAAAGCGTACTAAACAAAGTCTAGAATGATGTGTGTTAAGTTTCCTGAAAATCGGTTCAGATTTAGATATAGCTCTCATATATAATTTCGTCCGATTTAAAGTAAATGGGGCACTAAAGTCCACATATATCCTTCGATTTGCATGAAATTTGGCACAGCGTAATGAAATAGGTCTAGAATGATGTGTGTTAAGTTTCTTGAAAATCGGTTCAGATTTAGATATAGCTCCCATATATATTTCTGTCCGATTTAATGTAAATGGTGCACCAAAGTCCCTATATATCTTTCGATTTGCACGAAATTCGATATATCATACTGAATAAAGTCTACAATGATGTGGGTTAAGTTTCCTGAAAATCGGTTCAGATTTAGATATAGCTCCCATATATATTTTCGTACGATTTAATGTAAATGATCCACCAAAGTCCCTATATATATTTCGATTTGCACGAAATTTAGCATAGTGTACTCAATTAAGTCTAGAATGATGTGTGCCGAGTTTCGTGAAAATCGGTTCAGACTTAAATATAGCTCCCATATATATTTTCGTCCGACTTAATGTATATGGTGCACCAAAGTTCTTATATATCTCTCGATTTGCACGAAATTTGACACAGAGTAATGAATTAGGTCTAGAATGATGTGTGTTAAGTTTCCTGAAAATCGGTTCAGATTTAGATATAGCTCCCAAATATATTTTCGTCCGATTTAATGTAAAAGTTGCACCCAAGTCAATATATATCTTTCGATTTGCATGAAATATGGCACAGCGTACTGAATTAAGTCTAGAATGATGTTTGTTAAGTTTCGTGAAAATCGGTTCGGATTTAGATATAGCTCCCATATAAATTTTCATCCGATTTAATGTAAATCGTGCACCAAAGTCCCTATATATCTTTCGATTTGCACGAAATTCGGCACAGCGTAATGAATTAGGTATAGAATGATGTGTGTTAAGTTTCCTGAAAATCGTTTCAAATTTAGATATATCTCCCATATATAGTTTCGTCCGATTTTAGGTAAATGGTGCACCAAAGTGCCTATATATGATTCGATTTGCACTAAATTTGCCAAATGAAAAATTTAGTATCGGTTGCAGAATGACATGTTTATGGATCCAATTTCATTATACTGGTCTTTGAAAAATGCGACGTCTGTTATTATTCATCTGTTGAATATATCCAAAGTGGCCCGTCCGACTTTACTGCTTTCCTTACTGGTTTTATTTATTATTTCACATAATTCCTACCCCATTTTTTCATTACGATTGCTGTCGCCACAACTTTGCAACTCCCTAAGTGGATCAACACAGAAAAAAACAAAAGCAACAACTATTTATTCAGAGTTTTGAGTGGATTTAAAATAATGTATCTCAAAGTTGGTGTGTGTGTGTGTGTTGGTCTACGTTGCAACTCGCAAAATTTTATGCAAATACACTTATGCCAAAGCACTCAAATCCCACTCGCTCGCCTGGAAATACAGGATTAGAAAATGCATTTTACGCTTTGGTTGACAGATGCGCTCTTATGCCTGCTTAACATTGAGGTTTTTTTCTGGCTTGTTAAAGCAGAAACTGTTTTCCGTATTCAAAACTCGACAGCAAGGCATGCCAGATTTTAATATGCCATTAAAAGCGAACAGACGTACAGTCCTTTGTGTTATTCGTAGAGGTTTATTTAGTTAGCGACAGAGTACTTCAATGTGTTTGTATGGTAAATCCCTAAAATTATGCATTAGATACCTGCAAAAATCTATATGAATCTAGATGTAGCATGAAACACATACCAAATCTAATTAGGACAGGACTAGGTTGTGGTGCAATGCTAAAAATGGGGATGTGGGTACATAAAAGCAAACAGATACATAAACATTTTTTAATTCAAAGCCTAATTGATAGATTCATGAACAAATATTGGAAAAAAACTACGCTAAGTTGGGACTCTTGCAAAAGGAATATTATTAAAAATCTACGGCTTGTTAAGGCTCACGAAAAAATATTTAAACCAGTAAGGAAAGTAGTAAAGTCGGACTGGGCCAACTATATGATACCCTTCACCACTTTGGGTATATTCTACATATGCCTCCTAACAGACTCCGCCTTTTCGAAAGAACATTGACATGATATAATTTATCAAAATATGAACCAATTTTTACTAAGCTTAGCAGAAATCATTACAGACTCAATTCAGTACGGTATGCCAAATTTTGTGCAAATCTATAGATATATAGAGACTTTATGCACATTTACATAAAATCGGAAAAAACTATATATGGGAGCTATATCTAAATCTGAACCGATGTTCACGAAGCTCAGCACACATCATTCTAGACTTAATTTGGTACGCAGTGCCAAATTTCGTGCAAATCAAATAATAAATAGGGACTTTAGTGCACCATTAAATAAATTCGGACGAAACTATATACGGGAGCTATACCTAAATCTGAACCGATTTTCAGTATGAGAACCGATTTTCAGAACTATATATGAGAGCTTTTTCTTAATCTGCACTGATTTTCACAAAACTCAGCACACATCATTCTAGACTTAATTCATTATGCTGTGCCAAATTTCGTGCAAATCAAAAGATAAATAGGGACTTTGGTGCCACACTTACATAAAATTGGTCGGAACTATATATGGGAGCTATGTCTAAATCTGAACCGATTTTTACGAAACTCATCACACATCATTCTAGACTTAATTGAGTACACTATAACAAAATTCGTG